ATCACCTGAGGTCAGGAGTTCGAGACCAGCCTGGCCAACATGATGAAACCTGTCTCTACTGAAAATACAAAAATTAGCTGGGTGTGGTGGTGGGTGCCTGTAATCCCAGCTACTCAGGAGGCTGAGGCAGGAGAATTGCTTGAACCTGGAAGGCAGAGGTTACAGTGAGCTGAGATCATACCATTGCAGCACTCCAGCCTGGGCAATAAGAGTGAAACTCCATCTCAAATAATAATAATAATAATATTTATTAAGATGAAGGGCAGATACAATACACATTTTTTTTTTTTTGAAACCTTGAGACATAACAGAAAAACTTTTGTATGTCTCTTGTTTTTTGGTTTTTTCTGTACATAAATATATGCCTTTCCCAGTTTTTGTTTAGGAAACAAAAATTTCTAAACTGCATTTTTGTAATAGTCTTTATTTCTTTCAGCGTGTTGTAAACTTTGCCCATGTCAACAGATACTTTTCAAAACATTTTTATATAGCTTTGATTCATTTATATGGGTATATAATTGGTGATAATTGAAATAAGATTGGCAGAATATTATATTTGAAACTCAAAATGGAATTCATTTTACTGGTTCCTCAACTTTTGAGTATGTTTGAAATATTCCAAAAGAAAAATCCAGACTTGAATGGTGTATTCCTGAGAGAGAGTTACAATGGCCATCTCCACAAAACACCTGATGACCGAGGAATAGATGAGACGAGGGCAGATTTTTAGTCATAAAAAATGAGTTCAGATTGAGTTGAAGTTTTTGCCTACTGTAGATCATTAGATGGACTCATTTTTCATTTATGCATATGTCAAACTATAATTTTGCTGAGACATAGTGTGGTTAGAAGGACATAGTAGAACTTAACGCTAGATAAATAATGAAGCACCATATTAGAAAGCTCTGAATTTCCATGTGATAAGTTTGTAGGCTAAAGGGGCAAAAGCTTTAGGAAAATTTGGTAGCAATATGTTTGTTGTTTAAAGTAGGGAAGGTCTGAGTGAGAGATTGCAGTAAAGGGCTGTTTATTGCTAAAGTGAAGGCCAGTTATCAGGAGGATCTGAACAGAGAAGGAAAATGGGCTGAAATCACAAGTTTGAGTTGACAGCTGAATGTTTCTAGGGAGTCAGCTATCCCTAGGATTCAGATTAAGTTAACTGGGAGTGGCAAGTTGATTGATAGTAGTGAGGACAGAGAGACAGTCAAAGAAAGGTTTTAGCTCTGCTGAAAATTTAGTCCCAAAGGAACGTCCAGGTGGTGAAGTCCAGTAGTTGGGAATGTAGAACTAGAGTGAAGAAGGGAAACCAAAGAAAAAGTTGATAGTTTTTGAAACTACTGGAGTAGCTGTAATTTACCAGGGGGAAAGCAAAAAAGGGTGAGAGAACTAGTGCCAAACTTTGGTAACAGTTGCATATAAGGTGCACGTGGTATAGGTGGAGAAAAAGAAACTAGAGGAGAGATGATCAGAACCAATTGTGTAAAGTGTTGTGGAAACAAAGAAAAAGAAAAATTTTAAAGAAAAAGCAGGAAGGAAGAAAAAGTATAAGGATAATTGATGGAGCAAAGTCAGGAAGGAGATAGGATTGGATCCAAAGTAAGTATACAAATAGAGGGATACTTTCTCCTCTGAAGATAATACTAAAAATGATTGGTAGGGAAAAATGTAGCTTCGTATTGATCTTTTTGGCAAATAAGGTGATATCATCCACAGAGTAAAAGAGAGTAGGGAGAGTAGACTCTAGGGAAACAGGAAAGGTTTGCAGCTGATATTTGAGAGACTTAGTTGTTTAGAGACCAATCAAAAGAATGCTAAGCAGCCCTGAACACCTTGCCAAAGATGGATGGCTAACTTCATGCAGATCCAGGTGGCAAGCTCAAGAGCAGGAAAGGGCAATAGTGGGGCTAGTAAAGCTAGGGATCAAAAAACACGAGGACAAGACAATAAAATATTGGTAAGAATATCATTGTAATCTTGAGACATAGGGTTGGATAGAAGAGCAAGTGGTATCAGGAGACCAACAGGACCATGAGAAGAAAAGAGGAATGATTGGGCCGGGAAGTTGCCTAGAAGTAGTAAGCAGACAGGATTTTAAGAGGTGAAAAATAGGAGATTGTGATCAGAGAGTAATTGAAAATGAAAGATCTTTGATGTGGACAAGTTCCAAGTGATGACCAAGTCTAAAGGCTGATCTTCCCAGACAGCTAATGTAAGAGGACACAGGTTGAGGAACCCTGAAGTCAAGTTATGAGAAGGGGGTGGTATTACTTAGATTTATTTAGGATGGCCCTAAGATCTTTGGAAAACAAAGAGCCTTCTTATTCTTTCTCTAAGTTCTACATAAAGGGATAGCTTGGGCAAGTGCTGTTTTAGAGAGTGTGGGAAGAGTGACAGGAAACAAGTAACACCTTTCAGTGCTAACACACCTAGAATATCTATAGAAGAATACACTAGAAGCACTAAGGTCAGGGAAGGGACAGTATGTCTGGGAGATAGAAGTGGAAAGAATATTTTTTACTGTACATCTTTTTATACCTTTCGAATTGTAAACTACATGTAACAATTAAAAAATTAGAAAAATCAAAACTTAACATAGATATTACAGATGCAGATAGTAACCAACTTGTTTAACTTCAAAGCAGTTTATCCCTTACTTGTTCTTTCTGGTTTTGAAAAAGATGAATGTGATGGATAGAGTTGATAAAAAGAATCTGTAAAAGTATGTTATTCAGAGTATAGTATTTTGCTACATTATTTTCAAGCACTGGTCTCTTAATTTGAATCATTCATCATATGTCTTGTAATCCCTGGAGTATTTTAGAATTTCTTTCAGTGGAATCACAGCTTTCCCTAAGTCTGATATAGCCATTAATGGAAGCCTTTAAAGAGATCTCCCTCTGTTCACTTCTTCAGTTCAAACTGAGAGATGTCATCTAACCTATGAAGAGAGAAAAAGCAATTAGGAATTAGCATCGTGGCACTCTTTTAGGGATCCTGTGTCATCATCTGGTTTGAAAAGATAAACATCTCCAGGATATCAGCACATTCAGGGTTTGAGAATTAGCACACCAATTCATCAAAAAGCCAAATAAGATATTGTTGAGGTTTTCCTATTACTCTTCTATTAGTTAAATAACCAGAGGTAATGGCAATTATATATATTTTATTAAATATATTTAACAAATGTAATTTCTATTGCAGTAATTTACATGTTTTCCCTTTTAAAATCTTAAACCAGGTGTGAAAATTACATCAACACTGCAAGTATTGAAACTTATCAAGCAGGCTGGTGACCGAGTCCTGGTGTACTATGAAAGGCCTGTTGGCCAGAGTAATCAAGGTGCAGTGCTGCAAGATAACTTTGGCCAGTTGGAAGAAAACTTTTTGTCAAGCTCATGCCAATCAGGTTACGAAGAGGAAGCTGCCGGGTTGACAGTAGATACTGAAAGCAGAGAGCTGGATTCTGAATTTGAAGACTTGGCAAGTGATGTCAGAGCACAAAATGAGTTCAAAGATGAGGCACAATCATTAAGTCACAGTCCCAAACGTACTCCAACAACACTTTCTATTAAACCCCTTGGAGCTATATCACCAGTTTTAAACCGTAAATTAGCTGTAGGAAGTCACCCACTACCACCAAAAATTCAGTCCAAAGATGGAAATAAACCTCCACCCCTAAAAACTGCTGAGATAACAGACCCAGCACAAGTGTCAAAACCCACCCAAGGATCCACTTTCAAACCACCCGTGCCACCACGACCACAAGTGAAAGTTCCTTTGCCTTCCACTGATGCTCCAAATCAGGCAGAACCAGATGTTCTTGTTGAAAAGCCAGAGAAGGTGCCGCCGCCTCCTCTTGTAGATAAATCTGCTGAAAAGCAAGCAAAAAATGTGGATCCCATAGATGATGCAGCTGCATCTAAGCAATTTTTAGCAAAGCAAGAAGTGGCCAAAGATGTCACTTCAGAAACTTCCTGCCCTACTAAGGACAGTTCGGACGACCGTCAAACATGGGAATCATCAGAAATTCTTTATCGTAATAAGCTAGGAAAATGGACAAGAACCAGAGCATCCTGTTTGTTTGACATAGAAGCCTGTCACAGGTACCTAAACATTGCATTGTGGTGCAGGGATCCTTTTAAGTTGGGAGGTCTCATCTGTTTGGGGCATGTTAGTTTAAAACTTGAAGATGTGGCTTTAGGATGCCTAGCTACATCAAACATGGAATACCTTTCCAAATTGAGACTGGAAGCCCCCTCACCTAAGGCAATAGTCACTAGAACTGCTCTACGTAATCTGAGTATGCAAAAGGGATTCAATGACAAATTTTGCTATGGTGACATTACTATTCACTTCAAATATTTGAAAGAAGGAGAATCAGACCACCATGTAGTTACTAACGTAGAGAAAGAAAAAGAACCCCATTTGGTTGAAGAAGTTTCTGTTCTCCCTAAAGAGGAGCAATTTGTTGGACAGATGGGTTTAACAGAAAACAAACACAGTTTCCAGGATACTCAGTTCCAGAACCCAACATGGTGTGACTACTGTAAGAAAAAAGTTTGGACTAAAGCAGCTTCCCAGTGTATGTTTTGTGCTTATGTTTGCCATAAAAAATGTCAAGAAAAGTGTCTAGCTGAGACTTCTGTTTGTGGAGCAACTGATAGGCGAATAGACAGGACCCTGAAAAACCTTAGGCTTGAAGGACAGGAAACCCTCTTAGGCCTGCCTCCTCGTGTTGATGCTGAAGCTAGCAAGTCAGTCAATAAAACAACAGGTTTGACAAGGCATATTATCAATACTAGTTCTCGTTTATTAAATTTGCGTCAAGTCTCTAAAACTCGCCTTTCTGAACCAGGAACTGATCTCGTAGAACCTTCACCAAAACACACACCCAACACGTCAGACAACGAAGGCAGTGACACGGAGGTCTGTGGTCCAAACAGTCCTTCTAAACGGGGAAATAGCACAGGAATAAAGTTAGTGAGAAAAGAGGGTGGTCTGGATGACAGTGTTTTCATTGCAGTTAAAGAAATTGGTCGTGATCTGTACAGGGGCTTGCCTACAGAGGAAAGGATCCAGAAACTAGAGTTCATGTTGGATAAGCTACAGAATGAAATTGACCAGGAGTTGGAACACAATAATTCCCTCGTTAGAGAAGAAAAAGAGACAACTGATACAAGGAAAAAATCACTTCTTTCTGCTGCCTTAGCAAAATCAGGTGAAAGGCTACAAGCTCTAACACTTCTTATGATCCACTACAGAGCAGGCATTGAAGATATAGAAACTTTAGAAAGTCTGTCTTTAGACCAGCACTCCAAAAAAATAAGCAAGTACACCGATGATACAGAAGAAGACCTTGATAATGAAATAAGCCAACTAATAGACTCTCAGCCATTCAGCAGCATATCAGATGACTTATTTGGCCCATCCGAGTCTGTGTAGCAGACAGGTCTATTTAAACTTTCAAATGAATGGGGTAAAGTTGCATCTAAAGTACCACAGATACAACCATGTTTAAATCCTCTTATGCACTCTGGCCTGCTTCTCCAGTTACTTGCTTGTGTAAGAACAAAAATGAAAAAGGTTGTTTTCCAGTAAAAACATGACCAGCTTACTAATTGGTTGTTTTGGATTGCATTTATAGCTATGCTTTTTTGGGTTTATACTGGGAATTTATTTTTACTAATTTATTTTTAACTTTTCTAATTATGTAATTATATAAGCTAACTTTTCATGTTTATGTATGTATAGTGTCCCCTTGTGTTATTTTCCTTCCTCTTGGTTTTTGAATTAGTGTTAAATAGAATACTGTCTAGATTCTTAAACTATTTTCATTTCCATCATGGTTATAACAAATTTGCTGCATGCCCAAATTGACAACAGCAATCATTGAGGGAACAGGTTTTTGAATCTTTCTTTTGTGTTAGGAAGTTTATCGTCTCTACTTGCTTGAGATTTTTGTTATATTGGGGGTTTGGGGGTGCTTTTTGTTTTGTTTTTGCCAAACATAACATGAAAGCAGATGCTGCAGCTTTAGTCTGTTATGCTGATTTAGTTAAAAAAAAAAAAAACTTTTTTACATATATTGCTTGCTTTCAATACTTCTGTGAAATTTTTTTCTAAAGCTTTTGTGCAGCTGTATGGTAAACATGGTGATTAATTTGAAGAGCTTACACTGAAAGACAATGTAATAGGAAATATCTGTAGAATGCAGTTGGTCAAGAATTTTGTAGAGGATAACAAGACTTAATTACTGAAAAACAGTAACATAGCATTTTGAAATATAATCTTTTAAAATATTGATGCTTTCCTTTTAAATGGAAATTTAAATTTTATGATTAAAAGTTTAAACATCTATGATAATTTTCCTTATCAGTTCTCCCATAGGAAATAAAGCATGTGAAAGGGTATTTAAAGTTTTGGAGGACTCTTTTTAAAATGACTGTGTTGATAACTAGTTTGGGCTGGTTTTGTTTTAGAAACATGTTAATGTAGGAGTATTCTGTGAAGGAAAGGAATCATGCAAAATATACTTATTGCTTTGGCATCTCACAGTTGTAAAGGAATGGTGATCATTCTGAATACTTCTGTAGTAAGTATTCATTAAGAAAAGAATGAGAAAAACAGACAGTATTCATACATAGGAATTGGGACCAGTTCTCTAAAAATGAAGATATACTCATACTGGGTCCATTTTATGGATTCCAGTAACACATGACTGAGGGAAAACAAGTAGGCTTGACTGCTGTTGGGGTACCTTAATAGTTTGGGTCTGTTATATATCTATAAAATAGACAAGTATATGTTTGTCCCTTGTGTAGGTAACTGCTATGATGATTGCTATATAGTGAAACTGACATGAGTTTAAAACTAGATGGAGCAGCTTTTATTGCTGTCAGGAAAAAGCATGGTGTAATATTAAGGATTGGGGCCCAGGTCTAGAGTCCAGGACTCCATAAGAGTTTAAGTTCAAGCCCTTCCATTAACGAACTGTGCAAACATAGGCAGTTACAAAAGGACTCCATCCCACAGTTTACCCATCTCTAAAATGGGAATAATAATACTTTCCCTCCCTCACAGTATTGTTGTGAGGAAAACAATAGCATAACTGCAAAAGTGCTTTGAACAGTAAAAAGATATACAAGTAAAAGGCATTATTTATATGAGTGAGAAAGACATTTTTGAGGGTAGAAAAGTTATTCCACTTGAAAAATCAATAGCCAAGTCTCATGCCTTTTGTTACTTTAGGAAGTGAAAATTTCAGGTACTAAATACCTTTCTTAGCCAAGTTGATAACAAAAACATCCAGTATACTTCATTACTTATTTAAGCGTGATCTCTTTTTCTTTCTTTCTTTTTTCTTTTTGAGATAGAGTCTCGCTGTCTCCCAGGCTGGAGTGCAGTGGCATGATCTCGGCTCACTGCAAGCTCCGCCTCCCGGGTTCACGCCATTCTCCTGCCTCAGCCTCCCGAGTGGCTGGGACTACAGTTGCGGCTAATTTTTTGTATTTTTAGTAGAGACGGGGTTTTACCGTGTTAGCCAGGATGGTCTCGATCTCCTGACCTCGTAATCCACCCACCTCGGCCTCCCAAAGTGCTGGGATTACAGGCGTGAGCCACTGCGCCCGGCCACATGATCTTATTTTAAAAGAACACTGCTATAGAAGAATTTACACACCAGATTCCCTGAAAGCTAAAGTATTGTTCTATAACTTACACTTGAAGCAGTCTGCTCAGTGTGTAACCACAACTGATTTTATAAAAAATAACTTACCATTGATAACCTGGAAGGTGGACTACTTGTAAGTGGCTGGTGTTTACCGATTAAACCATGGAAGTTTTCATGATACCCAAGCATGTTGCTGAAACTGATGCATTTGAAAGAGCTGTTGAAATAATGCAGAACTTTGGTTTTATAAGAATCTACTCATGTTTTAAAAGTATTTAACTACGTAGACCACAATTTTAGAAAGCTCAGTAATGCTGCTAATGACGTTTGTAAACTATATCTGTAATGTAGTGCAATATTTTTATATTTCACTGGGAGAGGCAGTAGAGACATCATAGTTGTACTTTAGTGCAAGCGGGGGAACACTCCAAATAGCCTAGAGTATAGTAAGGTATAAAGCTTCAATGAAAAAAGCTGTATTATATTACATTACTGATGTAATCTTGCTGCCATGCTATGTATCAATAGCTAAAAAATAATAATAAAGACTACCACAGAAAACAAGAATATCTTCATTTAATGACATCTTTAAAAAAGGTGATTGCTGCATCTCTATGGAATTATCTTATGGTATAATTTGGCCATGCAGAAAAGCATAACAAAGTCCACTTTGCCTAAACAAAATTGCTGTTTTGCAGACTGCCCCAAAACATTGTTTTACTATTGTTTCCTTATGGATTATCAAGTTTATGGGTTTTCTTTGGCTATGTATTAGTAATTAGACTTTAAACATTTTCTACGTTAGTGTTAGCTGAATGAATGGTTTAGACAAACTGAGCAACATTTTAGCATTATTAGCAATCATAATAGGCTATATTTCTTCATATCAAGCTTTACATTCAATATCAGAAGTACTTGAAATAAGTGGCTATTTTGTGATGCTGGGAGAAGAAAACACAACCTAAAAATTTTGAGGGGTACTATCAAGTTCTAAATGTATAGCTTAATTTTTTTTAAGCAATTTGGAAATATTTGGCTCTTACTAATAAGATAAATAATAAAATCTTAAGTTCCCTAAAAGTGAATAAATTTTAAATACCTACTTTTAAAAATATTCCTTAACTTCCAAATTGACATAACAGCTTTTCTTACCAAAAAAAAGGGAGAGGTTCCCCTAATTCCTTTTGGGCCATAGATCCCCTTTTAAGATCTGATTAAAGATGTGGACTTTCACCACAGGAAGATACCCATTGGCACACCATTCAAAATGTATCAGATTTCAAGGGTTTTACGGAACTCCCCTGGGTTTATGTCAAATGGGTGGATATTACAGCTATTTTCATCAGGTATGGTTATTTGTTGACAACCAACAGGACAACAGTGTTTATAGATGCAAGGATAACTTACTGGTTTTTTTCCACATTGAATGTGTCTAGTTACATATCTCAATTTAAAATAAATTGTGGGAAGCCAAAAAAGTATGGTCAAGTTAACCCGGAGTGGCTTTTACCTGATTCCTACAAGCACAGAAGAATAGTTTTTAATTAAATATCCACAGTCAAAATGATACCTTATGTATTTTATTCCAACAACATTTGGTTTATAAAGGAATACAAACAGGCACAAAACATGATTCAGAAGATTTATTAAGTAAACTTGCTAAAATATGGACAGATGCACTTAGCAGTCAAACAGCTGAATATTCATTGCTACCTCATTCAGGTTTTTGTATCTGTATTACCGGGTACGAACATAAAAACCTCTGTTCAAAAAATAAATGTTCAGAGAACTGTATGTTATTTGTTCTGGTACGTACATTTAAAAAAAAAAAAAAAAAAACTTCAGTCTTGCTAACCAAGAATATTAGTCATATTCTATTCTATGACTTACAATTTTTTTCCCCAAGTACAACCTATCTTTTGCTCCCAAAGCAGTTCTGAAGGTTTTATTTATATTTTATCTTATCTTGAGGGACCAACAGCGGGCATACCTTTGCCAGGCCTTCTTGCAGAAAGACACAGAGCCATAAAGGCAAAAATAAAATTGCAATAAAGTATATGGTATTAGGGGCAGGGAGAACCAGAAACCCTCAAAGAGAACCAATTTGTAACACGTTCTTTTTTAAGGCTCTTACCCCTGTAGAAGTAAGAAACTAGCCTGCCTTTTTAGCCACATGAGAATTTCCTCCAGAGCCATCTTCCAAAGTAGCAGACTTGGCCAAGTTGACCAATGCCAAATAAGTGACTTGGAAGTTTGTTTGCTTCAAACGCACTGCAGTTGGAAACCAGACTTGAAATAATCGAAACCCCACAGAAAAGCTTCATGAAACAAAGGAAGTGTTACTTTCCTAGAGAATAAGAAAGTCACAAGATTGAGGAGTCTTTGTTCTAAAGTTCTTTGCTCCTTGATGTCCAAGTTAACACAAACACAATCTTAGCTTAACAAAACTAAGTAATTTTTGTTTATGATTATAGAACTGCAGGATTAACAACTATTATTAGAGACATTCCACACTGCACACTCCAGTCGTATCTCTTAACAAAACGACATAAATTGACAATGTTCACTAACAGTATTTGCTGTTACACTGAAAAGGCACATCAATGTTGTCATGCTTAGAAAAATACACGACACTGAACACTGGATGATATAGTTAGCACATACATTTTTAGATGTTCCATTTTTCTTTTCTGCCTGATCACTATTATTTTTACTTCTTAATATATGATTCAAGACATAATTTCATTCCTCATTTTCATTTAAAAGTTGTCTTCACATTGATGTGAACAGCTTTCAGGAGTCTAAAAAATCATAGTTTCAGACAACCTAAAATAAACATATTCCTAGAAAACACTTGGATGATCTGCAAACAGATCAAAGATATAGTCAGATATTGAAGTCAGAGCATCTGTTTTTAGCCTCTTGTTTCTTTTTCTAAAACTTGAAGTAGATGGCGATTAACCTTATCATGTTTAAACAACCTTGACAGTGTAAGGTACATGTACCCTCAATTTTCTTTCATCCAGTAAGACAATCAAGTATGCATCTTAAAGGGAAAGCTTTTAGTTCATAACAATATGTTTGGTTGCTTTTCTCTGCTTTCAGAACATTTACTATTTTTCCCTTATTGGCTTTAGTGTCTGCTGCCAACCAGATAACGTGTTAACATACAATTTACAACTCTCTTCTAGGTAGGTGATTACATAGGAAACTAACGCCAGCTAAGATTTATGGATTCAAAAGATAACTGACACAAGTTCTTGTCCTCTACACTTGAGAGAACTAGCTCTGTAACTCATAAATATATTGATAGTAACTACAAGTTAAATAACACTCATGCAGTGTCACTATATAACTTGCTGTCTTACTTGATTCTGTTTTTCAGACTTCATTCTAGTTTCTCTTTGTTAGAAGAGTCTCAGAGATAATGTGTGCTTTAATTTTAAACACTCATTACCAATATGATTTTTGCCCAAATGTTTGCTAATGTAAGTTAAAAAATTATATTTGGTTTGGATTCAAATATTTATAGATTTACACAATACCTATTTCATCAAAATATATTGTATGATATTTAATAAAATCAAATACATAAAATAAAGTTTCAACACTATTTATACAAACCCCTAGAAAAGCTTCTTTTTCTTTATAAGGCTGTTGGCAATCGACCATAACCATGGAAAAGAAATAATAACCTTTGGTTTTACTCTTTCACCAGGGATGGATGGTATGACTAAGACAGTTCTGGATGAGTCGTGTCACTGGAAACACTGTTTTATACAATTAAACACTTGGACGATTTTTGAGGGTCTCAGTCACTTTCAGATTCTTCATCATCACCTATTGGATAGGACTGGATATTATTCTGAGTGTACATTTTTGTTTTAATAGGGCAGTTGTGATCCATGAGAATAGCCTAAAAGAGAGCAAAGCGCAAGTATATTAACTTCTTGTTTCATAAAGATAAGATGGTTTTAACCTACTCTTTTTAAGGATTATTAATTTGAAAGCTATGTAGTATTACTTGCTATTAACCAGTCATTTGGAGCAATCGCCAGACGCCTGACCTAAAAGACCTGTAGTTCTACACTCCAAAAATTCCAGGCAATTGGAGACAGCAGAAGTGGTCCCTGCAGTATTTTCATTATATCTGTCAGGGGCCATAAGTCCACTGTGGGAACTTATACTCTATGAAGCAAGGGATAGGCAGGTTAGGTTTGTTATACTTAGAATCTTGGAATTGGGGAATGGGGATCCTGGAGGTCACCCAGTCCAACTTCTGTTTACAGACATCATTGTGGCAACACACCTTGAAAAGATTTGCTCTCTCCTTAATGAAAGAAGCCCTCACGTGTGAGAAATGTACCTAAGTCTGGACTACAACCCGTTTCCATTGTTTGCATTCATGAATCTGGTTCTGATATCTTTTTCTTTTTTTTCTTTTTTTGTTTGAAACGAAGTCTTGCTTCATCAGCCAGGCTGGATCGTGGTGTTATGATCTTGGCTCACTGCAACCTCTACCTCCTGGGTTCAAGCAATCCTCCCACCTCAGCCTCCTAAGTAGCTGATATTACAGGTGTGCACCATCATGCCCAGCTACTTTTTTTGTATTTCTAGTAGAGACAGGGTTTCACCATGTTGGCCAGGCTGGTCTTAGACTCCTGACTTCAAGTGATCCCCCTCCTCAGCCTCCCAAAGTGCTGGAACTACAGACATGAGCCACTGTACCCGGCCAGTTCTGATATCTTCACAGGCTGCCCTTACAATCTTTTGTTGTTGTTTTGAGACAGAGTCTCACTCATGCCATAGTGCACTGGTGCAATCTCAGCTCACTGCTGCTTCCCGGGCTCAAGCCATCTTTCCACCTCAGACTCCTGAGTAGCTGTGACTACATGCATATGCCACCAAGCCTGGCTAATTTTCAATTTTTTTTTTTTTGGTAGGGATGAGATCTCACTATATTGCCCAGGTTGCTCAAACTCCTGGGCTCAAGTGATCTTCCTGCCTCAACTTCCCAAAGTGGTAGGATTACAGGTGCAAGTGACCATGCCTGGCCCCCAATCTTTTAAGACCATATTATCATGGCCCGTTAGATTTTTTCTCAGGCAAAACATGCTAGAGCTATTCTTTTTTCACACATGTGATTTCCAGACCACCTCTCCCCAATCCTAGCTGTCCTCTAGCTTAAACATATGATTTTTTAAAAATCCTCTTCTTATGAGCATGAAACTCTCATGCCCTCCTTGTTACTGAAAATTTAAAAACTGTGACAAAAACGTGCTGCTCTGCTTTCAAACCAGATTGTCAAATAAGTATTTGCTTATATTTGATAACACAGCTGGCATTTATCATGCCAAGAGCATGCTAAGCATTTTAGAGAAAATGCATCACAATAACCCTCTGTGGGAGGTGAGAAAACAGGCACGGAGCAGTTAAAGAATTTGACCGAGGGGTGTACAGCTAGGATGGGGCAGACAGGAGTCGCAGCACTCCCTGGTAGTTAGACGAGCACAGAGGACAGCAAGGGGGCGTCATGTGCAACTAAAATGAATTATCAGGTAT